ATGGGCACCAGAGGGAGTGAAATGCTACACTTCTTTTTATAGAACAACCTCAATAGAAAGAGGAAAGATTCCTGATACTGCACATCTGAACAGCCAGAGCCACCGCCAGTGTGTGTGTGTGTGTGTGTGTGAGAGAGAGAGAGCATTAGAGAGAGAGCGTTAGAGAGAGACAGAATTAGTGTGGAAAGTCTTCCAACACACACACACACACACACACACACACACACACACACACACACACACACACACACACACACAGAGAGACAGAGCGAGTGAGTGTTTGTTTAAGTGCCTCTGCACTGCTTTCTCAGATCTGACCTTTGATGTGGTGTGTGTGCTGGAGGAGTTTGTGAATGTGAAACTCTGCAGATTCCCCAGATCAGAAGAGCGGGATGAGCAGAAGAGCGGGATGAGCAGAAGAGCGGGATGAGCAGAAGAGCAGGATGAGTGAAGCGGGATGAGTGAAGCGGGATGAGTGAAGCGGGATGAGTGAAGCGGGATGAGTGAAGCGGGATGAGTGGTGCGTGTTTCTCCCACAGAGGAAGTGATCAGTATCTCCAGCTCAGATTGGCGCACATTTGCATTCTGCCATCTACAGTCTTCACATTCTGCCTTCACACACTGAAGATGAGGCTGTGTGTGTGTGTGTGTGTGTGTGTGCATCAGCATGGCCCAGTTGTCCTCTATGCAGGTGGGTTATCAGCACACATGACTGAAGCTTCAGATGATCTTGCACAGGTGAGTGTTCTCCACAGGTGTGCTGTGAGGGCGGGGTTTAGGCAGAGCACCGTATAATGACATCATGTCTATTGAGAGTCCTCATAAATCTCCAATATCGAAGTGTGTGTGTGTGTGTGTGTGTGTGTGTGTGTGTGTGTGTGTGTGTTGTTCATCTTCAGTTGTGGATTATGTAAGAGACTGGAGGAATGTTTGAGATCTGATGTAACAGATGGACGGACGCTTCACCATGGCAACCTGAACACAGTACCCCGGCAACCGATCTGTCATCTGGTCCTTACAACACTAGCAAACCCACACACACACACACACACACACACACACACACACAGCCCTGCATGTTTCAGATGAAGTGTGTGTTCTACAAGTGTGTATCTGCTCAAGAAACAACACTGAAGGTGCAGGTGTGTGTGTGTGTGTGTGTGTGTGTGTGTGTGTGTGTGTGTGTGTGTGTGTGTGTCTGTCTGTCTGTCTGATTGTGATTATAGCGCCTCCTGATGGTGAATGAGGTTATACTCATAGCAGGTTTTATTTGGTTCTTAAAATCCTTTATTTCAGTAATTTGGCAGCTGTCAAACATTATCAGGGAAGCGCTCTGTGTTCTCACTTTAGTTGGAAACTAATAAAACATTAATACAACATTAATACAACATTAGTCTTCAGATATTCGTTATTTTCACTCTCAGCTGATGTCGGTGTGCTGCTGTCGGTAACTCAGCATATATCAGGTTATTTCCACTCAGCCGGGATCAGCCGTGGTCAAACACCAGCAGTTTGTGGAGAAGAGCTCAATGTTAGTGGAGACGCTGATCTATTCAAATGATTGAGTTGGATTTGGTGAACTAGCTCAACCTGTTCACTAAGAAGATCCAGTTAAACTGAAGGATTCAGTGTGGATCACTAATGCAGAAATACAGCCACATTCACAGAGGAGGAGGCAGCAGAGGACGACTGTGCTGGAGCTCAAGCTTCAGTTCTGCAGGAACACCACAGCCTCACTCAGCTTTATTTATACTTCAGTTAACCAGAATGAGTTTCAACTCTAGGATACGTTTCTGTGTGTGCCAGTGTGTGTGTGTGTGTGTGTGTGTGTGTGTGTGAGAGAGAGAGATGTTTTACATAAACGTTGTCAGGCCGGGCTGTAATGAGTAAAGCATAATTGATGGAGCTCCTGTAATTGAGCAGATTCTCCAGTGGATCCTTAATCTCCAGCTCCCTCTCAGCCTGACATCTGGAGACACACTGCTGTACTTAATCTGGAGATAAATGCAGGACCCAGAGAGAGAGAGAGCGAGAGAGAGAGAGATGGAGGGATGGAGAGAGTGTGATCTGGCA